AGAAAGTAAATTTAGGCCAAATACGATGAAATAGGCATCTTACATAGCTAAATATGACTTCATAGTAGTTTTCTAGTATAACAGTGAAAGAATAAATAAGTAGATTTTAAAAGACTCACCCAAAAACCTAGCTAATGGAACCGACCTGTTTCCAATAGAAAGTATTTATTTGGGAATTTAAGGGTTAGAATTTGAGAGATGGAGATGAGAGTTAGAGATGATTACCATAGAGCCCTCTCTCTTGCCTCCATAAGAAAGAAAGTACTTAGCTGATTGGACAGTTAATTATTAACAGTAATTATTACTGTTTTTAGGTCACATTTTGGCCACCTGAAGTTGAATATGTGCTAATTTAATAATTGGTCTCCTTCAGAATTTTTCACTTGTCTCTCTCAAAATTCTGTTGATCATCTTCACATTATCTCTTTATAATATGAACTCTGGTCTTGACATTGTGACATACTATACTTACTGGTCAAATATTTGCCCTTCTTGGCTATTAAATTTCCTGCTGGTGTTTTTGTCCAGGCCACACACACCCTTTGTTTTCTATCTCAAATTGTTCTTAAATTTTCATGGGATATTCTGTGAAAACCCTAGTGTTTAAGTGAGAAGTTTTACCTGAAAGTGTTAATTCCATATCAGTAAAGTATTTTAAAAAGTTGTCCATTTTGAATTCATGCAAATGAATGTTTTATTGCTTTCGAGTTTATTTAAAATAAAAGAGATGAATATGGGTATGCAGGTTGAACATCCCTTAGCTGAAATGCTTGGGATCAGAAATGTTTCAGATCTGTAGACTTTACTGATTGAGTATTGCTAATCTGAAAATAGCTCAAAACATTTCAGATTCTGGGTGTTGGATTTTCAGAGTACAGTTGTTCAATCTATAATACAGTTCTCAAAATTACCAGTATTTTAGAACAAATACATGTCTTTATTCCAGCTTTCACTTCCCGGTTTTTTCTTTCATTTATTTATTTTTATTCCCTCCTCTTCAGTGCTGGGTATGGAACCCAGGGCCTTTCATGTGATAGGCAAGTGTTCTACCACTGAGCCATGCCCTCAGTCCCCGCTTTAAAACAATCATACATAAAGTAAGAAAGTAGTTTAGGAAGGACAAGTAGTATAAGAGCTACCTAATCTTTTCCACTTCAGTTTTGCAGTTTTTCTTTAAGTCTAAGCATGTCTATTAGAAAACAGAACAGCTTACTTAGTAAGCAATGTTGTATCACTTAAAAATCACTACCCTGTATAAACACTGTTGACTTTTTGTTTTTCATAGGAAACACTACTCTGTATGTACAATTTTATATCCTCCTTTGATTTTTTTAAAATTTGAGTGTCATAAAGCATTTTTACAAATCATTAAAAATTACTCTTAATTTGGGGCTGTGTATTTGATCTGATTTGCAGACTATGATTTGAATATAGGATACAAAAAAGGTTGAATGAACATTTATTTAGCTTTTCAAAGTTACTCCTACTACAAATGGTGCTGCTGCCCTTTTTTTCTGAATGTTTGATGATTTCCATGGCATAGAATGTTAGTGGATATTTTTAAAGTTATTAGTATCTTTCCTTTATATTTTTTGTCATGTCTTAGGGTTTTAATGAATGTTTGCCTTGTTAAGATACTGATTTTGTTGTACTATTTTTGCATTGCTAGGGCATGAGCCCAGAGGCACTCTACCACTGAGGTACATCTCCAGTCCCATTTATTTTTAGAGACTAGGTCTCACTAAGCTGCTCAGGCAGGACTCAAACTTGTGATCTTGCTTCAGCCTTCATCAATATTTGCCCTAGGATTGCTAGTGTGTGCCACTGCTCCTAGCTCTTTTGTTGTCCTCCTCCTCTCTTGGTCTCTCTGGTGCTAGGGATCAAATCCAGGACCCCATACATACTAGGCAAGTGTCCCTGCCCTTGTTCACTTTTTAGATTCAGCCAGTGTTGTGTACCTTTTTCTCATACCATTGTGACTAAAACTGAATTAATCTTTTAGGCTTTCCCCTTTCTTCACTATCCAGCTAATCACACCAGAAAGTGAAATATCTCTTAATATTTGATCTCTCTTTACTCTCCGCACATCTAGTCAGTCACTCAGTCCTTTTAATTCTGTCTCCTGATGTTTGATACATCCTCTTACTTTGCTCCATTCATTTCTGCCACCTCTGCTTTGATTCAGATTGTTTTTTCTCACCTCAATTTCTGCTGCTGTAGCCTGCCTTCTGGTCTTCCTGACTCCCTTTCAGCTTATTTGCCATATGGCACTGAACATTATTCTAGAAAGGCAATCATGTGATACGATGTTATTCTGTGGCTTAAAATATTGGTATACTTTCCTGCAGCCTCTTTAATTTAAGGGTCTTAACGTGACCTAGGTATGATGGAATATGCCTGGAATCCCAGCACTCTGGGAGGCTGAGGGAGGAGGATTGCAAGTTAGATTCCAGCCCGGGCAACTTAATGATTCAACAAGACCCTGTCTCAAAATAAAAAGTAAAAGAAAGGTCGGGGGAGCTAGTGGTGTAGCTTAGTACAAAGGCCCTAGTACTGCAATAAATAGGCCTTTTTTCAGTAATATTTTCAGCCTTACCTCTTAGCTTTGATTGTTTGTTTGTTTGTTTTTTTTGGTACCAGTGATCAAATTCAGGATCTTGTGTTTGCTAGGCAGGTGTGGCAGCGGCATTACTGAGCTACATCCTGGCCCTGCTTTGATTTTTTTTTTTTTTTATACATTTGAAGTACATAATGATTGACTCATTGTGAAGCATTCCTTTCCTTTACTCTCCCCCACCCCACCTCCCTGTGTGTGGGTCTGCTACTTGTCCTCTTTTGATATCAGAGGCTGAAATAAGGCAGTGATGGATGTGTCTTACATTCTAATTTGTGCATATCATGCCTCATTTACCTCAGACACTCTTGGCCATCATCACCCCTTTTCTCCAGACACTCCTGACAGTAGTAATGTCTTTCCCGAGGGATTTTGCAGATCTTAGCTTAAATACTACCTCCTGTCTTCTAGGAAACCCTTCTCTCATATCCTTTGTGACTGATGCAGTGCTCTTCACCTGAGTAGATTTGTTTCTTTGTTTTTTTTTTTTTTCTTTTGGTTTTGTTTTTTTTTTGGTACCGGGGATTGTACTAGGGATCTTGTGCTTATGAGGCAGGCAGCAGCACCACTGAGCAAAATCCCCAGGCCTTAGTCACCTAAATAGAGAGCCACTTTTAAGACATTCTTTTCTACTGTTCATTTTTCTCTGTGCTTAGATTTGCATAATTTTAATATAATTGTGGAAATGCTAGGGATTGAACACAGGGCTCCATTTGTATAAAGCATGTACTTTGCCACCCCTGCCATCCCATTCGTTGAGTTTCCAAGGAGCTCAAGTGTAGATAAGATATCTGTTAATGTGAAACTAATGTTTCCTAGTCAACTTTGTGAAACTGTCTTCTTGAAGATCTATAATATAAATTATCATGTTGAAGACCCCAAGAAATTCTTCTGGACTTTCTATTGCTAGGTATATGTGATGTTGAACAAACTAGGTCTGGAGCTTACCAATTCTATGAGCATTTGTTTACTTTATCTTACAATGTCTGCTTTATTTAGAACTGGTCATCCTTCCTAAAACTGCTTCTTTGTCATCTGTGACCCCTGTATTCTTTTGATTCTCTTGATTTTCTTCCCTCCCCTCCCCTCCCCTCCCCTTTCTCTTCCCCTCTCTTCTCTTCCTCATGGGTTCCTTTTCTTTGCCTACTACTAAAATGTTGGTGAACCTTGAGGCACTGTTTTAGCCCACTGCTCTTTTCACACTTTATATCCTCCTGATAATCTCATCCACTCTGGTGATTTAAAACATCTGCTGATTATTGTTTTAATTCGGGCTCAAATATGGTAGAAATGTATTAAGTGAAAGGGGCAGTCTCCTAGAACCTAAATAAAATTGAGGCTTGTGGGGGAAAAGGCTGGGAAATATTAGCTTCTACTACTAGACAACCAACCTAAAAATTTGGAAGTCATCCTTAATTTGTCCTCTCATGATCTATAAAATTCTGCCAATTTCAAATTCTGAAGTGCTTATATCCATTTCTTCTCCAGTGTCCATATCCCTTCCCTACTCTGATCATCTCTTGTTTGAGCTGATTCTTGTAGGTAGTAAGACTCCTCAATTTCCTTTAGGAAATCGCAAGTGATGTGTCAAAAAATGTAGACCATTCTCTTGCTTAAAATCCTTCACTGATTTTTGTGTGTGTATAAAGATGAGAGACTTTAATAAAGCTTGAGGTAGCTACCTCTTCTGCCTCTGGGACTAGAACTTTATTCTCTAGTCATGATCCTGGTCTACTTCATTATGTTTTTCTCTGATGTGATTTATCCACAGCACTTCTTTGTCATACTTTTCCCTTGATTCTTAACCTCTGTCTTTTTATTGCAGTTACATATGAGCAGATGATTGTAACGTAATCGCTTTCTTTGGTTTATAGTAGGTGCTCTGTAATGTTTGCTGAATGAATAAGATCTTGCACAAATTTGTTTCCAGCTGTGGTCCTTCAGCTGTCCCCCTCTTCTCAAGTTCCTAATTGCAAGTTCTAGTAAAGGGGTTTTCAGATACTCACATTCTTTATGTTAGGAGAGATGCTTGTTATATTAAATGTTGATGATGCTTTATGACAATCTTAAAAAATATTTTTAAAAAGATGGAGCATCATTTCAGCATGTAGAGAAATCCAAACTGGTAATATTTCCATGGAAGGCTATTAAATATACTTGAAAGCCTAAGGTATGAAATTGTAATATTTGTTTGTCTGCTTGTAAATCCTGATTTTAAAATGTTATACAAGTTGATTAAAGAGACCAAACAGCATTAGTTTAGACTACATATCTCCATTGTAAAGTAATGCATGGCTGCGAGTTCTTAGTAAAAATTTATTGATTATTGTCATTTTAATAATTCTGGAGTGCACATTTTAACTTTTAAAAAAATCTGTTTTTGTAGCCTCAAGGAATAGGTTCTCCTAGTGTTTATCATGCGGTTATCGTCATCTTTTTGGAGTTTTTTGCTTGGGGACTATTGACAGCACCCACCTTGGTGGTAAGTAATCTTTAACTTATTTACCACTGACTCTGAAACTTCTTTTTCAAAAAAAACTGCTTTTGGTTTTTTGTGTTTTTTTTTTTTTTTTTTTCCATGGTTAACTCCATCAATATTGTCAGTTCTTCAGTACTTTTCTATATTTTACTGTTTCAGTTGTCTGTTCTAACCTTTCTTTTTCTTACTAAAAAGTAGAAGTGTATGATTTTGAATATATCATCTGACATGTTGAGACAGAGGCTGAATCACCACTCTGGATAATGTGAAAGGATTCTTAAACCAACAGATTCATGAAAGATAATGTTCGTAATTGACATTATATGGCCTAATTATTTTGAGAGTTGCAGTTGCATTTTCCAAACAAGAAATTTCATTTGTGCTAAAGATCTAGAAAGGCTAATGCTGGTTTTTACTTAATTTTCTAAGGTTTAGAACTGTAGAAAAGACCTCTTTAATAAACCAGACAACTCAGATGATAGCTGGTTTTCTCCTATCAATATAGATGAGAGTAACTGAATAAGGGAAAGGTATCTATGATAAAAGTTCGTAATATCTTGAAAAGAAGTAGTTTAGATGTATAGCTTATCAAATCCTAGAAGAGAATTTTAAAAGTAATATACTTAATGTATTCATGAGCTTAAGCTTTTACAAAAAGGTTTATCAAAAATTGGATGATTAAGTACATGGAATTAACTTTTACAGTCCATATTTCTTGGCATGTTTACTTATAGCTATGTGATCATTACTGTATATACATAAAATAACAGGGCATATTCATGAGTATTGTTAAAGGAAAATTCAGACGAAAAGAAAATGTTTAAATAAATGTTATTCTTTTTGTAACAAACTATGCATTGCAAGTTAAATTAGGTCCCTGAGAAGCAGACAGATAATTGTAAGAATACCAATTAGAGGCCGGGGGATGTGGCTCAGTGTGAATTTTCTGGATTCCATTCCCAGTATCACAAACAAAAACAAAAAACCAATTTGGATGTATTTGATTAAGATCCCTTCTTTTTTAAGAAGTACTGACCTTTTACCTGTAATGGATTATCAATTCTACATAAATGAATTTTGAAAAAAATTGTAATGTGGACTTACAAAGTAACCAATTTTTTTTTAGTTTACTAAAAAAGATTTTGGACAAATCTTTCAAAAATTAATTTGCACATTTCCTGTCTTCATAATCCAAATACAGTGATTTGGAACTTCCTCAAATGTTGCCAAATTATTATGACATCATAACTTCCTTATGTCGTAATAACGTCCTGTTAAGTGCTCCTGAGATTCTGTGATAACTTCGTGGTCTCATGATTGTTTATTAGCTTTCCTAATGTTCTGTGCGTGTCTATAATCTGCTACCAGATTAATGTATAAATCTGGTGTATTATCACTCTTGTGGTTTTAAGTACTTGACCAGTACATTTCTCTTTTTTAATCCTCATAATTCCCTTGGTTGAGAAAAGTGAAGAAACCTGATGACTACTACTGGGATAGTAAACTTAGTGTTGATATTTCAACCTAGTCTTGCTTGTTGATGGTGCTCAGGGTTTTGGGGAGTACTGTAGTTAACTGCTTTGTACTCGTTTTTGTTAGTTGATGTTTTTGGACTGTTCAACCATTAGCAAGCTGTTCAAAAGACTTTTTGTAATGTTTCCATAATTGGTCATCAGGATTTGAAGTATGTATGCCTCCTTCAAATTTTTGCATCTGGTTTTTTTAGGTATGTCAACTTTTTGTGTAATTTGGAGTAGGTATTTTCTCCCCTACTTGGACAAAGAGAAACTGTTGTCTTTAAGAACAAGGAAACAGTTTCACTTTTAATAGACATGGGAAATATTTTATCCTTGATACTGTATATTCTTATTATTTATATAAATTAAGAGTGCTAGTATCTATTTTTTGTTGGCTGGCTGTTCTAGGGATCATATCTAGGGCCTTATACGTTTATATACCTCCAACACCAACCCCTTTTGTGTTTTTGTTTTTAAAATACTAAATTCTTTTTCCCCCCTTTTTTCTTATTAAACCCAGGGCCTTAGCACTGAGCTGTCTTCCCAGCTATTTTTCATTTTTATTTTCCTACAGAGTTTTGCCAAGTTTCCCAGGCTGAACTCAAACTTATAATTCTCTTGCCTTAGCCTCCCACAGTACTGGGATTACAGACTAAAATCCTGGATTCTGATTAGGAAAATGAAAGGTGCTAATTTATGGGAATTGACTATATATCTTGGAATAAGTGCTACAACATTTTTGCCAGTTTGTTTTCTATAATTGATACAGTAGTTACTCTTAATTCCTACATTTGATGTTTATACTTGATTGATTGATTGATTGATTTTGGTACCAGGGATAGAACTCAGAACCTTGTTCCTGTGAGGCAGACATAATGCCACTGAGCTAAATCCCCAGCCCTATATGTTTACTAAGGTTGCCTGTAATATTATCATGTGCTTAATTCTTTGCTTTTTAAGTTTTTATTTTTTTTTTTTAAGATTAAGCGTCTTCTTAGTAGAAAGTCCAAATATTAAGCTCAGACCCTTATTTTTGCCTGAGTACTTTTGGCTCTCCATATCTGTGGGTTCTACATCCTCAGGTTCAACCAGCTGTAGATTTAAAATGCTTTTAAAAAGAAATGGATTTGTACTAAAACATATACAGGCATTTTTTCATGTCGTTCATCTCTTAGGAACATAGTATAACAATTTAATATTTACATTATATTAAACATCACTTGTAATCTAGAAATGATTTAAGGTATATAGGGGCTTTATATGTTACTTTCAGACATTCGTCATTTTATATAAAAACTTCAGCATCCTTAAATTTTGATGTCTATAGAGAGTCTGTAACTAATCTGCTGTGGATACCAAAAAATGACTGCTACTGTGCATATTTTGTTGTTATTTGTTAATTTGTATTTTGAGACAGGTTTTTACTCTATAGTCCAGTCGGGCCAGGCCGTGTAGCCCAGGCCAGCCTTGAACTCACACAACACTCTTGCCTCATCCTCTGGGATCCACTATGCCTAGCTCTGTGCATGTTTTTGTTTTTATTACGGGTTTTGGTGTTTTGGGACAGGGTCTCACTGAGTAGTCCAGGCTGGCTCAAACTCCTGCCTCAGCCTCCCAAATACTGGGATACACCCAGTATACATGTTTTTAAATGTATTATTTGTGCTGGGTGTGGTGGCACACATCTGTAATCCTAGCCCTCAGGAGGCTGAGGCAGAAGGATCTCTGTGAGTTCAAGACCAGCTTGGGCTACATAGTGAGTTCCAGGTCATTCTCAACTACATAGTGAGACCCTGTCTCAAAACACCAAAAAAAAAAAAAAAAAAAAAAAAAAAAAAAAAAAAAAAAAAAAAAAAAAAAAAATATTTGTATTCTGCATTAAAGGATAAGATGAAGTCACAAAAAAAATTAGGTTGTAGGGATTAGATTCTATTCTAAAGAATGAGATTTATTTGTTTCAGGTACTTTGAACTTTTGATTATTCAAATAGCAAAAATCTTTCAAGCATCACTAAGGGAAATTGCACATGTAGGTATATATATAAATCTATATGTATGTGCCTTTCTTTATATATAATATATATGTACTGCCTTTTCTTGTAACCAAGGCAGCCAAGTGGCTGTTATAAAATATTAAACAATATAGAAATGTAAGTAGGACATGAAGTTCTTCCACAGCCTACCCACCATTTCTGGGCAAGATATGAACCTTGTGCTTTGTGGTGGTCTTTACCTTTGCCCTTAAGATGGGTTTGCCAACAGGATGAACAGTTTCATTATTTAAAATGTGTAATTCTATTAACTCAGTGATTTTTAACCACAGGTGAATATCAGTGATGGTGGTGAAAATTAGAAAAAAAAATAACTGGGCCTTGGGGCTAGGGATTTAGCTCAGTGGTTCTGCCACCTGCCTCACAAGTGCGAGGACCTGAGTTCAATCCCTGGTACCTAAATAAATAAATAAATAAAAATTAACTGGGTCTTGGGAAAATTAGAATATCAGAGGTGAAGCTTAGGTATATGATTTTCTTTTTTTTTTTTTTTTTTTTTTTTTTTTTTTTTTTTTTTTTTTTTTTTTTTTTTTTTGGTTTTTTGAGGCAGGGTCTCACTATGTAGTGAGACTGACCTGGAATTCACTATGTAGTTCAGGCTGGTCTCGAACTCACAGGAATCCTCCTGCCTCAGCCTCCCTAGTGTTGGGATTACAGGCGTGCGCCACCACGCCCGGCGGGTATATGATTTTTTAAGAAGTGATTCTGCTGTATAGTTAGTATATATATCACTAAGAACAATATATTCAGTGTGGGCTTTTATCAAAGGTTTTGCTTATTTCGAGGCTTTTATTTACTTTTTAAAAATTATTAACATTGTTGATAGTCTTTGTTTTGGACTCATAACTTCCTTCTCTGGGTGGGTGGGACAAAAATCTAGGTTTAGGGGTAAAAGAAGGCACCAGTGATGCCATTTTTTTCTTTCTAAAAGATTTAAATATTTCTTTTCTGTCTTCTGTATTTTGAAACTGATTGTAGATAAAATTTACTAGAGAGTCATAGCTCTTAATAGTAATTTTAAAAGTGAAAATGAGGATGAAAATGTAATCTGATTTATTTTTAAGTCCATATTGTCCTCTTCCCATACATAACATACATTGTGATTTAAAAATTACCTGATAGTTTGTATCAGCATTTCAATTTCACAATATTCTTTAAGTTAATTACCTTAACAAGTAACCAATTTTAGGCATTTTAATTGTAAAAAATGTTCAGTTTTAGATTTATGGTAGCCTTAATTTCTTGTTTTTAAAACTAATGTGACATTATTAGAAATGTTTTAACTTCATGGAGCTGCAGTTAATTATACCTTTGAATTTTAAACTCTTCTAGAACACAGACAAAAGGACAAAGCCAGTGTAATATATGGAAGGTTATGTGTTAGGGGAATGTGAAGCCACTAACAAGGAGATTTAACTAGAAAGAATTGTTCTGTACTGGCAAATACCTTTAAGAACTGAAGTAGAACACTTTTGACAGATTTTGAATGTATGGTTGATTCATAGTTGGGTATTGAGTCAAGGATTGTCGATTAATTAAATAGCAGATATGTCGATAATGACAGCAGATATATGGATCTGTAAATGCTAAAGAATGGCTCTACTCCTTTAACAGACCAGTGATTCTAGAAGTATTAAGCCAGCATTTGGTAGTTCAAGCTGCTGGTTTAACCACCTATGTTAAGAGACCCTGAAATCCACTAGCATCTCCTACCTAGATTGCTGTACGTCCTTCATTCACTGTAGATAGTCCCAAGGCATTTAGTATTTTAAAGATTATTTAGTCTCAAAAAATTTTTAAGTTATTAAAAATTTTAAGGTTAATACAATTTCTTAGAAAATATTTTTTCTTATTAAAAATCTAAGATTTTGACAGATCAGAAATCTTCACAATTGAATTGTTATTTTTGTCTCTGTTAAAATGTTGTTATAAATTATATGACTCTAAAGGAGAAATTGCTGTAGAGAGGGAAATTGGGTAACTGAGGAACAGTTTCGAGGTTTTGGAGGCTGGGGAGTGAAGATAATGGAAGCATATATTCAGAATGGACACTGTCATAGTGTACAAGTATAACTATCAGAAGGCAATGGATATTTCTAAAGGATTGAGGAGAACAGATTGATTGGAATGAGGGATTGCTTGGCAAAGTGAATCATTGGTGATATGATTTGGCAAACTATAAACTTCTTATAGGTATTTGTTATGCCCTTAAGTTTTTATAATGTCCAAACTGTTCTTTGTACCTAGAAAGGCTTGGCTTATGAGAGGTGCTTAGTGATTGGGAAAGAAAAATTTGAGTTGATTATGAAAGGTTTTGGAATACTAGTTTCAGGAATTTAAAATCTTTCACATTAGAACAAGGACTGGGCTGGGGGTTTAGCTCAGCGGTTCCGTGGCCTGCCTCGCAAGCACAAGGACCTGCCTCGTAAGCGCAAGGACCCGAGTTTGATCCCCTGTACCAAAAAAAAAAAAAAAAAAAAAAAAAAAAAAAAGAAG